ACCAATTTTTTGGATTAAATAGATGAGCATAAAGAGACTAAGATAATCACGTATTATCATATATATATATATATATATATATATGTTTGAATGAGGGTATTAAGCTAGAGATAATAATTTATTTATAGGTAACCTAGTTAGTACATGGGTCAAAATTAAATTAATCTAACAAACATTATTTTGACTGATAATCTAACAAACACACATATAATAATACAAGACATACCAAAAATGTTCATGTCACGATAAACCATATTATACGTGACACTTTCTAATTAATCCTTATAATTGCGTGCCATTACCACTAATTACATTTGTATATAGTGTGACACTTTGCTCCCAATTGCAAAAAAAAAAAAAAACGTACGTATTATTAGTCAATATAAATTAAATTAGTTTTAGTATATTGAGATTAAATAATTAATTACTTCATTTCATAATAAATAAATAAAAAATCCACTCCTCCCCCCACTAGGAAACATTCTATCCTCTATGGAATGTGTATCCAATAAATTTCAATTTCACCTACCACCCCCACCACCACCATGATTAATTAATTTTTATTATGAATTAATTATGCTAATCATAGGTTACCCACCTATAACTATAGAAATTACATTTTATTCTTAATAAATATATTGTAGATAATTTGTAAATTTATTACATTTCCTCTTAAATTACCTTAACAATTTCACACACACTTCGCTTATATATATATATATATATATACATACATTTCTATGGTCTGTAAATTTTTGGTTTCCATATCTAGGGGAAAAAATCGTGCTCTTTAAATTAATTATTGTGCGAAGATACTTTGCATGAGAATAATATTTTATGTACATAGATAAATAATGAGAGGCCGTGTATAATAATAATATTATTTTAATTATAATTAATTGATTAGCTAATTAATACGTACATTAATTGTTATTAGTTGCCCATAAGAGCGAAAATAAATAGTAAAATATTCTTTAAACGAATGGCAGAAACTATAAGATTAGTCACGGATTTGCTTTTATTTGCTAATATATGAATATTATTTGATCGAGAATCACCAAATCTTTCACTTGATTAACAGATCAATACTTATATATAGAATTATATATACATATATATATGTTTTCAGCAAGAAATTAAGAGAAACGATTGCTTATAATTTATTGTTTAACGCATAAAACTTAATTAAGAGTGATAATACATGAACAGAGAGAGTTAATGTGTGTGTGCGTATGTGTAATATAAATATATATATATATATATATATATATTCTTCAATATTGCAATATACCCACAACACTCAGTATATCTCCCGCATAGAAAACGAAAAACAAAACTAGAAAATATATGTATATAGAACCATAAAAATACAAAAAACTATCACCTTATAATTAGAATAAACTGTTAATTTAGAAAAATTAATGTCTAACCCTTGTGATTATTATCATGATGATCATCAGCCACATCAACCTGAGCAGTACAAGATAACAGCCTGATAAAACACTCCTTCATCTTCTTCCTCATCTTCCTCATACTATCACAGCACTTACCGTTCCTAACCTTCTCTCCTCTGCAACTATTTCTACCCTTCGCCATCACCACCTTTGACGTCGCCATTAATGGCCTGCTCTTCGTCATCAGCCGGGCCCTCTCCTTAACTTTTTCCAGACACCTCTTCGTCTTCTCCTGAACAGTCTCTTTTCTCGAGAACCTGTAGCTTCGCAGGTATATTTGCCGGCACGATATGCAATCCACCACCCTAGGTTGACGGTCGCCGGCGGCCCTGGTGTCCCCACTGCCAGCCTTTCTTACTTCGGCGGCTAGGTTTCCGGTGACAGATCTCATGATGAACTCAGCCTCGGACTCCGGCCATCGGTGGAGGCTCACGTAGGTTGTTGACTGGATCCTGCAGGAAACGACGTCGTTTATACAGTCCTTGCTGCACGCTGAGGCCATATAGAGGAAGAAAATGAGAAAGAAGAAAAAAGAGAGAAGGGTTTGGTTCACTGAGACTCTCGTACTTTATATACACAGTACAGTATATATATATATATATATATAGTAGTGGAGATAAATATTCGTGTAATAAATTTAATTATTTATTAATTATAAAAGTAGATAAAATTATTTTTTTATTAATTTGGGTCCAACCCATGATATTTATATTTTTGTTCAGCACATGATTTTGACGTGGAGTTAGCTTATTGTCCTACGGTACTGCTATAGCTAATTAGATAAATATGCAATAATATTTAGATAAGTACATAAATGATTTTTTATTAAACAACAATTTTAATTATACGCATAACACACACACACACACATGTATATATATATACACTCCATGAATATTAAAACATTATATATATATATATATATAGAGAGAGAGAGAGAGAGAGAGAGAGAGAGAATAATTAAAATATATGATAATTTTTATCAATATAATACAATTATATGCTAAATAATATAATTTCTTAAATTAAGAAATAATATATATATATATATATAATGGTTGAACTGGGTATAGTGAGAATTATATATTTACAGATTGGGTGAAATAAATATTTGATATGGAGGAGTAAAGAATCAGAGATACAAGGAGAAGAATCTGGTGGTGAGATGATAATTACGGTACAAAATAGATATAGAAGGGAGGCAGATATTTTCGCAAAAATATATTTATATACGCCAATAAATAGCACTTGCAATTTGATGTTATATATACATATATACATATATATATATATATATGCATTACGTGTATATACAAACATATATATGTATATGTATATATATATATTTCAAGAAACACCCAATAATTTTATTGGGATTTGTGCCTATATCACAAAGTTATCTTTTCTCAATTCATTTTCTTTAGAAAATATTTGACGTACCAAATATAATTTTTGAAGTATAATTTTATTATTAAAAAAATATTTATAAAATACATATTTATGCTGTTGGATTTTTAAAAATAAAAAATAAAAAAATATTTTAAAAAATAAATAATAAAGTATATGGGCTCGAATGAAAAAAGCCCATTCTGCCGGATCATTTAAATTTAAAAGGGCTTTAGTTCTAAAATTGAAGTTTAACGTAGAAGGCACAAGTGGGCCCATCAGTAGGGCCCATATTTGGTAAAGGTAGTCAAAAAACCCTTTACCCACTAACCTACTCCCACCATATGCTTCTTGTTTTTTTCTTAACTAAAATTTAAAAAAAAAAAAATAGCAGTAAAAATATTTTAAATCATTTTGAGATAGATTTATTAACAAAATTTATAATTAAAATATTTTTAAATAATTAAAAATATTTTTTAAACTATTATATATATAGATATATATATTAATATACGAAATAAAAGATAAGCTTAATTAGGAAGTACAAAGATCCTTTCTTCAATAGAGAGGCAAACCATGGAAGGAATTTTAATTCCTGAAGTATTTATAATTTTATATTACCTTAAACGGAAGTTTGAGTGTACAAGTGCACAACCATTCAGATCAAGACTCACCAATCATTAATCCAAGCCACGCGATTGCTCTTGTGGGACCCACGATCTCGTCCGTTGTTACGTGGCGGAGATTTATTGGTTGAGCCATGTGAATCTAGTAACTTCCAAAAAGCGGAATCGTACGTAACAACAAACTCCCTATAAAAGGGTGAGAGAGTGGGGATTGGCAATTGAATCGCTCTTTTTATTTATTCAGATCTCCTGATGTGCTTCTCTCGTTGAAATTTCCGAAAGAAGAAAACTAGAGAGAGAAACAAACGATTGGAGGAAGCAGAGTGGAGGTTTTTACTCCCAAACTCTGGTAAGGAAACCCTAATATCTTCGATTGATTTAATGTTCAATTCCTGTGTATTTGTTATTGTTTGGATGCGGAGAAAATGAAGGAAAAGAGAACGAAAGTGAAATCCGGTTTCATAGCTGTTTGATTTGATTTTTTTTTTTTTGCTTCACGAAATTCGGACTTGAATCTCTCGTTCGATTATTATTATTATTTTTTCATTTTCCAAACTGAGAGATCACGTAACGGAAGTCCGTTTTTGTTTATTTCAGGAATAGAAGCTTAATCTTTAATGGAATTTATTATTGCTTCATTTTTTTTTAATTAGTTGGAGAGTTGATTCCATTTCCGTCTGATTACGATGGGAAGAGGAGGAGAAAACTACGGAAAGATTCATAACTTCGGTTCTAACTCGTTAAAGGAGGAAACCTTCCCTGCTTGGTCCAAGGATGTTCAGGAATGTTTGGAGAAATTTGAAGTAAATCGTGAAACTGGATTGTCCACAGAAGAAGCTGAAAAGCGGCGCCAAATCTATGGATGCAATGAATTAGAGAAGCATGAAGGTGTATCTATTTTTAAACTAATTTTGGAACAATTTAATGACACATTAGTTAGGATTCTTTTAGTTGCAGCAGTCATTTCCTTTGTGTTAGCCTGGTATGATGGTGAGGAAGGAGGTGAGATGGAGATTACGGCATTTGTTGAGCCACTTGTGATTTTCTTAATATTGATTGTGAATGCAATTGTTGGAATTTGGCAAGAAAGCAATGCCGAGAAAGCATTAGAGGCTTTAAAGGAAATTCAGCCTGAGATTGCAACAGTCATTCGCAATGGGAAAAAGCATTCCAGTTTTCCTGCCAAGGAACTTGTTCCTGGCGATATTGTGGAGTTGAAAGTTGGTGACAAGGTGGCTGCTGATATGCGGTTGCTGAGTTTGATAAGCTCAACAGTTAGAGTTGAGCAGGGGTCTCTGACAGGAGAGAGTGAAGCAGTGAACAAGTCTGTTAAGCCTGTTGCTGAAAATTCAGATATTCAAGGGAAGACGTGCATGGCTTTTGCAGGGACCACTGTGGTTAATGGCAATTGTATTTGCCTAGTTACACAGACAGGGATGGACACAGAGATAGGAAAGGTGCATTCACAGATTCATGAAGCTTCGCAGAGTGAGGAAGATACTCCATTAAAGAAAAAGTTGAATGAATTCGGAGAAGTCTTAACTATGATAATTGGCGTTACTTGTGCCTTGGTTTGGCTTATTAATGTCAAGTACTTTCTCACTTGGGAGTATGTTGATGGTTGGCCCCGAAATTTTAAATTTTCTTTTGAAAAGTGCACGTATTACTTTGAGATTGCTGTGGCATTGGCAGTGGCTGCTATTCCAGAAGGTTTACCTGCAGTTATTACTACATGTTTGGCACTTGGCACAAGAAAGATGGCTCAGAAGAATGCGCTTGTCAGAAAGTTGCCAAGTGTTGAGACTCTTGGCTGTACAACTGTTATTTGTTCTGATAAAACAGGAACTTTGACAACCAACCAGATGGCTGTGTCGAAGCTTGTAGCTATAGGTACTAGGGTTGGCACTCTTCGATCCTTCAATGTGGAGGGAACTACTTACAATCCTCATGATGGAAAGATAGAAGACTGGCCAGTGGGTCGCATGGATGCTAATCTTCAAATGATTGCAAAGATTGCTGCCATTTGCAATGATGCTGGTGTTGAGCAATCAGGGAATCACTATGTTGCCAACGGGATGCCCACAGAGGCAGCATTAAAGGTAATAAGACCTCATATCCTAGAAGCCTTGTTTTTTTTTCATTTTTTTCTTGCACGGAGGGGTCCAATACTTGTGTTCAAAATTCCCTGAACTGGTTTGTCCTTTCCATAAAGGATATAATTGACAGTTGCATATATCGAAATTCAGCTTCCTCTAGGAGACTTAACATATTCTATCAAGCAGAAACATGTTGGACTGAACATGTGATTTGAAAAGGATTTATAAGTGCATATAGCTCTTTGTAGTGCTATACCAGCTCTTTCTACTTTTCTACAGCTCCAGTGTGCTACATTTTTATTATTTTATGAGACATGCAGAATTTAATACGACTTATGTCTTTTACTTTTTTTCTTAACAATATCTTTATTGTATAATAGGTCCTTGTTGAGAAAATGGGATTTCCTGAAGGACTGAATCATGATTCACCTTCCAAGCACGAAGATGTTCTATGTAAGTACCTAACTTTATATTTCGTTACTTGTCTATTTTATCTTGTGGGTTCTGACTTGCTTCACTTTTGTTCTACAATGTAATCTAAGGTTGTTGTCACCTATGGAATGAAATGGAGAAGCGAATTGCAACTCTAGAGTTTGACCGTGATCGTAAATCTATGGGAGTTATTGTAAATTCCGTTTCAGGCGGAAAGCTACTACTAGTAAAGGTTTGTTTTTTTCCCTTCATACCACAAATGTGGCTGTTGAAAGATTTTCCTCATTTGGGGTGGATGGCGGAGAAGCGAAATCATGAGGAGAGTTTACCGTATTTTAATCATCGGCTTAATCACAAAGACTTTGACTCCTTTTTCAACTTGGTTCTTAATCTTCCAATTTCTTCAATCGAAAACCTGGCCTTTTATTTTCTTCCAAAGTCTTTCAATTAACTTATCCATTAGATTAATAAATTTTTAGGCACGTAATCACTGTGACAACAATATCATTAGAAAATGATGGCATAGCTGTCACGTTAATTAAATTTACAAGAAGTTCGAGAAATAACACTGTATAAGTTGAAAGTTAGAGAGAGCAGAGCTGGAGGAGATAGGGGTTGAGTTTGGGTCTCTTAAAACTGAGTAAGATTTTAGAACAGAGTAAACTGATGCACATGCCAGATTGAGAACATGATTTTCACATGGTGATGGTGTGTAAAAAGCTGTTTATCTACCAGAAATTAATTAATAGGATTGATTTGGAAGAAAAATATAAAGTAAAGGATTTAGTTGCAACAGTAGAAAAGTCAAGGACCAGATTGCAGAAAAAAAGTTAAAAGTCAAGGACCATATTTGCAATTAAGCCTTGAATTATCAAAATTGGAATAAGAAGCTCTGAACATGCTTATGCTAGCCGTAGAAGAATGTGACCCCTATTCTTTACTTGTAAAACTATTGTAAGACCATATGGAACTCAAGAATGGATTTCTGGTTTCTCTCTATCTCGACTCAGGCTCAATATGTGAATTATGAATTGTAAATTGATTGATCACGGGTTATTTCAAACATTGAATGATCATGGGAAAATAAAGTCCTGTATCCTCAATGTCTCTTACTGCAGTCAAAACCCCCTACCACTAAACTAGAGGAACAGCATTTTTCATTTTGTAGCTTTTATACCTCTTCTTTTTCTCTTTTGTGTTCAAACTTGTGAAAGCTTCTCAGAGAATGCTGTTCATTGCAGGGTGCAGTAGAGAATGTACTGGAGAGAAGCTCCTTCGATCAGCTACTAGATGGTTCTATTGTAGA